GAGTTGATAGTAGTGGTATGCTGGCTGCAGGACAGATATCCCCTGGGTCTGCCAGTACAAAATCAACTTCTGACAGACTTAAAATGTCTGGATAAGCACAGACACCACTTTGCATTGTGGGCTCAGAAATCTTTTTTCTGCCCTACTTGATGAGTACTTAAGCTGGAACTTCTGAGAAGGCAGAAGACAGGCACCATCCAGGCTTTGCTTGCCATGACTGCTCCTGCTAGGGACCAGGAAGGACCACAAAACAAGTGTCCAGGTACTGGAATGGCAGTGGTGAAAGACTCACTTTGGGCAGGTGGTGTAAAAGAGGATTCTTCTCAGTAACAGCCATGCACTGGGAGCAGCTGTCCTGTCCTGTGTCCTGCTAAGAGATGTAACTTGTTTGTAAGCTCAGAGGACTGGAAGGTACTCGTGGTGTATATCCTGACTGCTCCCAAGCCCTCATGCTCATCTTCACCCTCACTGACCTGATTTGACAGGGAAGGGAATGCTCTGGGCTCTGGGGTGGAAGAGCACTGTAACATGCAGAGGATGACCAAATGATTGAGACCTCAGGGCATGCACGAGAGGCACAGATTACACACATATGAGAGCAAACAGGCACAGCCTTCAGCCTTGCCAATCAACTTCTCCCTTCTGCTAGCAATTCGTGTCCCACAGATGAATTCTAAACTGCTTGGAAGGGATAAGTGTCTGTAAAATGGAAAACCAACTTATTTTCTGGCATTTAAGAGAGAAATCTGGCTTCAAGAAAATAAGCCCTTTCTCCAGTTTGCGTTTAGTGGTAATTTCCTTCACAGACAGCACTGTGGTTTGTTAAGCCTTCAACTTGAAACCTGTATTTCAGAAGTACATTAACATGTAATTTCAGCCAGCTTCTGTGGGATTCCATGAATAGGAAAACCCAGGTGCTTGAATGAGAAAACCATGATTTTTCCTGGCTGCTTTATGGGAGGTATTGCAGCCAGGTAATAAGATTGGCCATCTGTAGTAGAAACCAGGCAAAACCAACCTTTCCATGGTATTATATAAATCTATTAGATCCTGTAGCTATTTCCTAGCAGCAAAAAATTACTGCTGAGGTAGACAGTTGGACCCTCACTCCCCCTATGCAGGAATCTTAGAAGTGACAGGCTCTTCAGCCCTACCCTGTAAAAGTAAACTAAATGGAAGGACAATTAGTCCTCTTTCTTCAGAGGAAGAATTCCAAGCAATACTGCTTTCCTCTTTGTTTTGGAGCCTATTTAATTCCAGCAGGATCAAAAACTTCAAATACTATCATTTTTCAAACAAGGTGTTGGGCTGTCTCTGGCTGTCCTGCTTGGTTTCATTAACCTGTCTCTGTTTATGATACATCCACAGACCACAATTCTCCATTCAGCAGTATTATTTTTCACTGATGTACTTCATTTGTGGCTTTCAACAGTTTCTGCTTCCCTGGATCATAAAAAGGAAATGTCCTTCACTTCAAGCCAGTTGTGCAATCTCACACCACTGTTCCATGTCACAAGATTTCCAGCAGCACTGTGGCTCTCTTGTCACTGCATCAGGCTCTAGAGCAGCACTGCTTCACAGCTCTTTTTTGAAGTACTCTGTGAATAACCGATAGCTTGCTTTTGTCAATTACTATTGTTTTTAATGATAAATGTGCATGCTTTAGGCTTATGGAGTGTAAATAAAAGCATTAATTTAATACACCAACTTAAAACACACAGCAAAGCCACTTCACCAAACACTGATAGTCTTTGCTCCATACAGACATGGAATAAGAGCAATGTCATCCAACAGGCTGACAGGAGAGAGAGTGGCAAATTCAGCCTGAGAGGAGGCTGAATGGGAGTGGAAAGTGCAGAGTACTTGGCAGAATATTTTCCTATATTTTCAGGAAGACTGAAGAGGTCTCCTTGAGGCATGATGGCATCTGCTACCTGAACAAAGCCACAGGAGTCTCTTGGAGTGTCCTCCATCTTCTCTCTCCATTAACTCAATTTATGAGATGTTTTAGAGAGCATTCAAGGACCAGGCTTGGAAGTGGCAATTACTCTGCTGTCACAGGTTTTACATCTTTACTCTCTATTTATCCTACAGTCTCACTCTGACCTTGTATGTGCTGTAAGTGAGGGGGTGAATATACTGAGTGCAGGATTTAGAAAGTAAGAAAATTTGATTCTTTCTTCAGCTGTTGGTCCCTTCAGTATCAGCTTCACCTCAGACAGGCCAGGATAGACTCTGGATAGGACCAGGATCTGTGACAATTTTATGAATACACCACACAACACCACAGCCGGCAAAAAGTGAATGTTATCCCATCCTTGTGAACCAGCTGTGGAGACAAAATTTAGCAGCACCTTTTTCAACTTGGCAGTGGCAAATATTCCTTTCCTTTCCATTAAGGTTTGTCCTAGGCTCCTTGACAAATTTTTCAAGTTCCCTTGAACATGACAACAGGAGAAGGCTGCTGATACAGGGGGATTTACTGGACCACAGACAGGAATGACATTAAGCTCAACTAGACACATTTGATGAAGATCACAGATGTCAGACCACCAAAGACAACATGCCAGGCCAAAGGCATGAAGGTTGGCCACAATCCCTGATCTCCTTCAGAAGGCCATCCAGAGCCTATGACCAACTGCCAGGAAAGTAAAGAAAGAGGCTGCTATGTCATGTACCAGTTGTGATTTCTCTTCATATTTTTTAAGTTTGCATACCAAGAATTACAACTTCTCTAGAGGACACACATGAAGAACTAATCTAAAAAAAAAAATAAATCTAAATAGTTAAAACCATAAGTATTGTTTTCCCAACAGCTAAAATTGGAGTGACTTGACAGCTCGATTATTCAGGGCAGTGTGACAGCAAGGGAGGTCACCCCTACCATTCACCAGAGCTCACATGGGGTGCTGCACTGGAGAAGCCCCAGGTGCATTCCTCCTTCTCCTGGCACTACTTTGGTGGCTTTTTCCCAGATGTAATTGAAGGCCACAGCTTTACACACTTTTTCTTCTGAGAACCAGGATCCCTACAAACTCCTGCTTCTCAAACTCTTCTTCTTTCACACTCTGCTGTTGCTGGTGAGAAGCTTCCCCTCTTCTGGCCTCACAGCTTCTCACCCTGAAATTCAGGTTCTTGACACTCCAGAGAACCACCTGGTGATGAAATCAGATTTGCCAGTGCTGGTCCCATCTGTCTGAACACACGAGAAAAATTCAATTAATGAGCACTGCTTTTCTTACTCAACACAGTAGAGATTTTCACATCTTTCAGTCTACAGATTGAAGTGCCTGATTTCCTCCTTAGTCTTGTTCCTCCCTGCCTGGGATCAGAGCCTCCAAACCACATCTGTCCAAGCTTCAATCCACAGGAATCCATCCAGCCAGAACTCCAGCCTAGGTCAGCTTCTACTGTCACTCACAAACACATTTGCATAGGAGTCATGACAGACTTAAATCTGACAAAATTCCTATCAGAAATCTTGGCAAGAAGGAGCTGCCAAATATAATTTTGGGAACACACAGGAAAGGCGTGAACACCCTTCTTGGCAGCCAGCAGCAGCCAGGACAGTGTTGGAGCTGCAAAAAAGGCTGATGCTAAGGCTCCTTGAGAAGACCAGGAATACACAGCCAAGTGATGCTAACCCAGTGTGAAAGTAAAGTGATCCTTTCCCAGTGTCCAAGCTCCTGGACCGTCTATAAAAACCATGTTGTTTTTAATTTATTTTCATTTAGAGACAGCAAGCTTGCAGCACTTGTGGCAGAAGAGTCTAGAACATTTCAGGAGCTCCAGCTGCAACTGAGCCAAACACACCAGAAGAGCTTCTCCACTGGGGGCAGAGCAGAGCCTTTGGAACTTTGAGGCAATCCCATCCCTACACGGCATTTGTGTCACTTTTTTCAGTAGCTCCGTGCTACGCTTTTTGTCAACAGCCGTCCGGGACGAGCTTCCCACTACAGCAAGGACACCGCAGCTGCATTTGCGCCGTGCCCGCGGTGCCTGGCGCCGGGAGCGGGGCGGGACACCGGGACGGGAGCTGGGGCGGGATCCCGGGATGGGAGCGGGGCGGGATGTCGGGCTGGGAGCTGGGCGGGGTCGGGATCGGGGCGGGATCCCGGGATGGGAGAGGGGCGGGGCCGGGATGGGAGAGGG